CATCACGTTGGAAGGATACTGTTCAGCCTCCTCAGACACTATCTGCATGGTGTGTGTGTGTGTTGCAATAACATGATACTCTACTGGTATTATATTGACAACGTTACAGTTTAATAAAGAGGTGTGTTTTGGCAGCATGTACAGTGCACTAGCTGAGGAACAGAATTACTGTAACATCATGTTCTTACACCAGGTGCATAAAAGAAGCCAGCCAGTCAGAGGCAAGTGGTCTGCTGGTAAGATGGCAGCTGAGCTGGCATACAAATAGCTTTGGGGGATTCTCTGAATTACGATTAGGAAGTTTTGTGCATCAATGCCAAACTGTTTCACATTAACGAAAGGGTTATTTGAAACTTTATATATAAGCTTTATATGAACCCTCTAACAATTGAATCCGTCTTCATCCATTCGATCACATCGAATAGAGTAAAATGTCATTACAACGGTGACACACAGCAGGCGAATGGCTCCGTCAGCTGTGCTCAGGCAGCAGCAACGAAGCCGCTCGGTCCTCTGCGAGAGCCACCTCCGCACCAGCAACAAGAGCCCTCTAATCTGTGCCAATCAGATGACGCTAAACAGCCATTTGTTGTTGAATTGGGCTCAAGTACACCACGCCCCCCCCCCACCCCTCCTCATTCCAACAGCCATTGCCGACCCTAGCAAAATGCTGGCAACGTAGCAAATGCAGGCACAGCAGTGATGGTGACCGAAATAGCAGAGTGGTGAATAATAGACAAAAAGAACTGTGGTGCAATTAACGTGGTGGCTCGGGGCTGATGTACTGTAGAGAGATTTTTTTTTATTTTTTTATTTTTTTAAAGGGGGCGCGGGGGGGGGGGGGGGCGCGTTGGGAGTGAGGATGGAGAAGAGATATGAGAGAAATTAAATGAATTAACGAGTGGGGAGTTTTAAGAAAGGGACAAGAAAGAAAACAGAGAGCAAACTAAGTCCTAACTATAGTCCTGGAGTAAATAAAAACCCGGTGACAGGCAGAAGTATCTGAAAGTGCATCTGATATTTACAGCAGCAAGTACATCTCACTAGCTTTGTTTTAATCCTGTAATGCAAAGCTCACTTTTAACTGGTAACACAGGGTACATCTTCATTTAAGAAATCCCTGGAGTGAGTGAGGATGTCTCGTTATCCGTTGCCTCATAGCACAGGTGACTTCTTCAGCCACAGATTACAGCCATCAGAAAAGAGCTGCAGATTTCCAAAATGGCGCTGCTCTGCGTGGGCTGGAACAGCACTGCAGTAAGGAGAGGAGTGAGTGGGACTGAGAACTGAAAGCAGCTCACTCTTCAGTACTTGCGTATGTGTGGCTTTCTATGCAAGAAGACAGAGGAGGAGAGACAGAAACATGGACAGCAGTGGAGAAATAACATGCATGAGACATGACATGTAAGAAAGGGAAATATGAAGTCATAGATCCCAACCTGATCTCTCAGATTACAAGCACATTAAACAGATTCAATCTCATCTTCTTCTCAAAACATTTCCTTTTCCAATTAACACTTGAAATGATTAAGGCACAAGATGTAAACCGTACTTTGGCATTTCATTTTTACAGCTTTACTTAAAATTTCACTAAACTAATTTCACTCATTTTCTTTTTTGCAAAATGAAAACACTGGCAATGAGGAAGATCTTGGATACATAATAATGAGAATAGTTATGCAACAAAATCTAAATATATATTATAAGTGAATAACCACTACTACTACAAGCCTGCTCGTCTTGAGCTACAAGGTATGACAGCAAATGGATGCATTTTTATTAGAAGCTAAAGTTAAACTCTTATTAAAGTGGCTGTTTATACATTGCAATAAAGTATAAAAAATAAATTAAAAGTTGAATATAATGTGCAGTGAATATATAGTAAGGAAACCCTGCTGCTGTCCGACACAGCCTTCGCTTTAGCCAAGGAAGCGGCTTCACATTCCAACAGGAAACACATCTCAGCCACTTCCTGCTTCCCGTGAGGAAGTGACCGGTCACACAGGAAATGGGGTGAGCCAGTCACACTCAAGACTGAAGTCTGGAGTGAAATTCAAGGAAAGAAATGGAAACCAAATACAAACTAGTTCTACAATAGCTGAATAAAAAAAAAGTGTGTTAGGGTGTGTTGACACTACTCTGCTGTTTCTACAACACATGCTCTGCTTCATTAAGACAACCTGCAGCTGCCGCTATTCACAGATTATACTAAAGCAACAGGTTGAGGTACGGAGCCTCCATACAGACTACTTGTTCAAGGTTTTGGGATGTTCCTTCTTACTGCTGTATTTCCACACCAACAATTTGGTTTGGTTACTGTAGACAGCTATTGCATAAATAAAAAGGTCACAGCATTTATTACACTTTAACAATTTAAGATTTTTAAAAAGATTTATTAAATTAATAAATCACCCACACACAAATTATTCTCTGACGTCACAAACCTGCCTTTTATTTTGAAGCACTTAGGCAACTATATAAACATACAGTAGTGGAATAGTGCTGAAAAACATTAAGACTGGGTTTACATGCTCGGCAGGTTTTTGCTGCCACACAAACCAGTTATATCGTAATAACACAAGCTCTGCCAACAGCACAAAACAAAACCACCAAATGGTTTTCTGCTTCAACGTCTCCTCTATGCCTTCTTCTTCTTCTTCTTCTTCTTCTGTGCTCAGCACTCATTGTTTACTGAAATAATTATGTCTTGCATCTTTAAGCACTCTACAAGACAAACCCATTCACTGAAGTCGACCCATGGTTACTCAGACAGAGGCCATTGTCCAAACCTACACACTGCTAATAGACCCTGTGGCAGTAAGGACTAAATTGCAGTTCTTTTGTGCTCCTGCCGACTGGTCGGCAGAGTTTTTTTTTTGCTTAATTATAAGGGGAAAGGGATGAAGCAGGATAAGGCCGTCCACTAGAATAGCCCTAATGACGACGTGGTATGATTGCCGTGAGACTGGAGAGACACGCGCTCATTTGTGCCCACGGCGAGCGCATTCGATTGGTAGAGGACGGCCGGAATGAAGAGGCAGAGAGAGCGACAGAGACAGATAGGGAGAGTTAATGGAAGTGAGAAGGATTGATTCCTCACTCAGTGTGAGAGCATGTGGGAGGAGATGAGATGCTGCGACTGAAAGTGGGAAAGAGAGAGAGATAGATACAGAATGTAAGTGTGTAGTCAGTCCATCGAGTCAATTATTCTCGCTCTTTTCTTTCCATCCATCGATCCATCCATCCCATCAAAACGCAACTGACAGAGGCAGCGCTGGGGGAACCAGCCGTAATGATGCAAGTCCTCAAAAAGTTCAGTCTCGCTGGGTGCAAACACATCTAAGCCTTTAATGCAACCAATTACACTTTGTCATGGCCATGCAGCAGTTAATAGAAGCAGAAGGAAACCTGGAAAACCAGGGCACACATGTGACAGGAAGGGGAAGCTCTGCTCAGAGAGAGTCCGTTAGCATTCAGACAACATCTAATGGGCTTTGTGTGGACGCAGCGGTCCATTGTAACACACTGAATGCAGAGGTTGTACATCCTTTCCATCAACATACACAACCGATGAAACGGATAGAGCTGTATGCAAAGAAAATGTTTTTCTCGGGGGGAAAAGGTCTTTCTTGATTATCAAAGTAAAATTCAACCCTCCTGTGAGAAATACGACCAGTAATCTGCCCTCTCCATATCACCATATCTGGAGGATTTATAACGGTTTCCATTTTCTTGGGAGTGGGGGACCTTCAAGTCCAATATCTCTAGTATATTTTATCCACCGTTGAAATTCAGATGGTGTCTTTATTCTGCTGCATAATGTGTTCAAGCACCCTGAATGAATATCTCACACACTGTCTGGCTGATGTTGATTCCAGGCTATAGGCATCCTAAAATATATTATAGAGTGATAGTATAGGCTATGTATAACACAAGTATAATAATATAACTATAAAATCACAACGGATTACGACTGACATAGTGTAACATGCTTAAATAAATAATCAATAAATAGGAATTAGTAGCAAGAGATTGCAGATACACACGCCAACATGTGAATAAGGGGAGTACTGGCACTAATGTGTGTGTGTGTGTGTGTGTGTGTGTGTGTGTGTGTGTGTGTGTGTGGGAGGGGAGGAGAGCAGCATTGCTGGCTGGAGGAGGTGAGAGAGAGAAAAAGAAGCGAGAGAGGGAAAGAAACATGAAGCATTTACTGGAACAAAACATGCCGTTTCTGTCTCATGGATAAGGGCCGCCTACTCACCATGTTTCATCTCAAAGCAGACTACTCCTCATTTTTACAATCTATTATTCCTTAAGTTTTAGATAGTATATATTATGATTATTCCCATGTCTAGCTTACCTTATTACTAGCCTAGGAGAAGCAGAACATTATCCTTTTGGCATTTTTGTCGCCTAACTGAACTACGAGTCGCCAGACGCACCATCTGTGGAGTGTTGGTGAAGACAGAGGAGGTTGAAACTTGTGAATGCAGGGAAAGAACTATTAACTTGACTGTGGACATTAGGAATAAAACATTACAATCAAATGAGTGGCTTTACCTTTATAACACAATCGCAGCGACAATTGAATAACCTTCATAAAGTGGAGGAATGCAGTCGAATTTGATAGAAAAAAAACAACAAATAATAGCCAAGAAATGAATGTTTAGAGAATAAAACTGCATGAGAATAGAGAACAATGGCGAGTCAATTGTTCAGAGAGTATAAAGGGAATCCTGCCGTTAAAAACCTAATGGTACCAAATATCTGTCAACGGCAACGATGAAAAGCTAATATTGGTCTTCAGTAACAGCTCTGTAATAAAGGGTAATTCACTTTATGAAGTTCAGTGGTGGTTTTTTTGGAAAGAATGAGCGAAACAGAAGAACAATTATCTTGACAAAACAAATGGTATCTGATGAATTAAACTCAAACTTAACAGAACCAGCTAACGGACCACAGACGCTCAAACCCGACTGAGAAAGGCGGATGCTCACCGAGGATCCCAGTATCTCGTCCAGGCCAGTGGACTCCAGATGAGACGGTCTGACGGCTGCCGGGGTGACCCTGAAAAGAGAGACAGATCTGTTTTTTTAAATTAAGAATATTTTAAAAACAGCCTCATGCATGCCCGCTACGCACCGGGGCATCAACGCTAACAGATATTAATATCTCTCCTCTTCAGTGAACAAAACATTCAGGTGGCAGCTTCTGATTTGTAGCCCTCACCGACCGTCTCTCTCCCGCTTTAAAATGACAAACGACTCCTGCGGCAGTTCATGTCAGTGGACCGAATGTTTTTGTAGTTCCCACAACTCCCAACTGAGTGACGCATCTTCTCTCAAGCTGGTCATGTCGGGTGAACAACAGGAGTCACACTCTCCTCGTCAATCTTTCATTCATATCATCCCATCATCTTAAGCTTATAAACTCAACAGTTTATAACCAGGACCTTCAGCATCTGGATCAACGGGGCTGTGAGAAATAAGGAGAGGCAAACTTAGAAAGCCAACTAATGAGTATGTTCTGGATTAAACGGAATTTGAAAAGTAATTTTGTAATCAACTGTAATTTCATCTTTCTGCACAGCAAAACATATTCTCACTTTCATCAAGAGCAAACCTGATATCTCCTTCTTGAGGGATTAGTTTTTATCCGATACCCTTATACAAAAAGCTCAAATCACACCGAGGACAAAGACCTGCTCACAACAGTCCTGATTTTTTATTTTTTTTTAAAAGGAGACAGAGAACACAACAAGAGTTTTCCTTTTCGAATGCAAATTCTGATACTGTGACCCGGGAAAAAAAGTGTGCATGTGTTAACGATAGCCTGCAAATAAGTCCATCACAAAGTGTAGGAATGGCTGAAGGGGCTCTCCTGCTTTCAGCTAGTTGAAATCAGCTTTAGAAGCCTCTGGGGAAACATTCATTTAATGGAGTACCTCACAATGGTAGAGGTGATCCAAGTTTAAGGACCATCACACTAACAAGACCATAAAAATCATCGTGACTATAACGAGTCACAAGCCTTCATTCTCGCAGTCTGATAAAAGTCGTTCATAAGAGTAGATACAGAGGTGGTCTGTATTTATGATGCTCATAGCCAGCTTGTGTTGAGTGCAAAGGAAGAATCAGTAAACATGCATAATAGGTGACAAAGGTTAACAAGAGTGCAGTGTATTCACAGCTCGACAAGTAATCTGACAGTTTACACACACGCCAACATACACATATTTCAATTCCTCTCTGTGGAGGTTGGCTGGACTTCCTGGAGAGCTGAGGAGGAAGCAGCCGCCGCCGACTCTGCAGACTTAATATAAGTTCCATGTGTGTGGTCTCGTGAATTCATTTGATTTCGTGATTTGAACTCATGACAACCAACTTTAAACGTTCCGCTTCCCACCAGATATCACCGATCCAGTGATTATCATGTCAGCCCCGACTTATGGTTCAGATCTGACAAACACAATCTGTATGGGCTTGACTTGATGTGAGCTTAACTGAACCAGCGCTGGCCCAAGACAAATTCATATATAGAAACATTACCTGGCTCAGAAGTTGTCACATAAACTGGAATAACGTGTTGTGTTTAAAGGAATTGTAAAGTAAACACAGACGTCTCTTGTAACCTGAAAGAAGATCTGATATCCAAGATAATGTGCAGCATATTGTCTTCATTGTCTCATAACTGAGATTAGATCACAGTTGAGTTTCCTCCCACAGAAAACAGGGTTTGCTAGTCTGCTGTGTCATTACCACATGTATTTAACACCTGGTAGTGATTAGGGAGCGTATTTAGCAGAGGTGGAAAGTGAAGTGAACATGCGATAAACCACTTACTGTCATCAGCTGAAAGCTTAATGAGACCAACACTGACACGTCTCATCTCGTGATCAGCTCGCTGGAGGATAGCAGTTTTCTCCATCATTAGATAAACAGCCTTTACAGGGATCCAGGGTCATGAAAAAGAAGAAGATCTTGTACATGTTTTTAATTAAATTCATCAATCTGGTGCACTTTGAGAGCAAAATTAAGAGGCTAGATCTGTTAGCTTTGGTGGACCGCCATAGCCTCGGTAGTTAATGGGAAACACTGATGTGTACACATTCAGTAAAAGTCATCTATTTCCTAACTTCTTATCATAATAATAAACAACAAACATACTATTATATTCCAATCCTTTCCTCCAAACTTAAACAAATGTACTCCTCTGAGTAAACAGTCAGCTTCATCAGCATCCCTTTATGTGCCGAGCTATTAGCACAGACTGCTAACCTGGACCTTTGGACCGTTCCGTAGTCTGTTTCTGCATGCTGGCATTCAGCCTAATGAGGCTTGCTAATGGTCCACCCATGTCCATGTGGGGGAGACTTTCTCCTCTATGCAAACTGCAACACATGGACACAGTTGCTCGGTACACACCCACACACACTTTCTACCACGATGCACCGTTGCTTAGTTGATGAAAGGACACGCATAACCCAAGCATGAGTCAACTTTATGCTAAACCTGTCTGGCATCCCATCACGCTGTATCACACACTCTCTCTATTCATCTTCCCCTGCTCGACAGATCTGTGGATGTTATCTTGGGCTAGTGCAGCCGGCTTTAACCCCGTTACAGAACTACGTTTTAGGTTTCCTGGATTAGAAATCTGGAGTCTGTCTTAGGAAATAATAAGAAAATACGCAATTTGTAACGAGCATACAGACTGGGACGAGACATACACTACAGTAAATAAGTGGAAAAGCTTTTGTATCCTCGGTGGTGACTACTGCTGCAAGTCCTAACTTCCATTGTCTTCCCAAGGCCACGCGCTCATGGGAACTTGTCCATTAGTCACGCTCTGTTGGTGTTGCTAGTTAATGATTGTGAGTCCTGTTACAACACATTTACAAAGCGAGGCCTCAGTCTGTTGGTTCACACGATGTGAAACCAAAAACACCGGTTTTGGACGGCTTTGTTTCAGAGATCAGGAGAAAATCCAAAATACTGTGTGTGAGCTTCTGATAAGAGATGGCTGCTGAGCAGGCTAGAAAACACGGTGAAGCAAATTCAACTTAATCTAAATGATGTATTAAAACATGACTAATTGTATGCAGGTATTTATTGTAAAAAAATACAATGGACTTAAGACCCATAATTCATTTAAGCTTGTCCGGGGAAGTACAGGACTGCAGAGCACTATGACCGATACTGTGACGGCTAGTTGGGAGACATCAAAATAGTTTCCGGGAAGGGCGGACAGACGAAGGCTCAGAAATGAGGAGGAGAAGCAGGTTTTAGAGAGCGGAGGAGAAAGGAAGAAAAAAAGAGACGGTCAGAGCAGGTCAGAGCTGGTGAAGCCATTGTGTGGGCTGGCAGGAGAGTTCATGTCTTCGGGCCAAAGCCACGAGCTTCTCCGCATGCGTTTACACCAGCACATGGAGTGAGGCATAGGCCATCTTACTGCAACTTTGAAATTCGGAAATATCAAAAGTTAGATCGATCTGGAAGTCTTTGGAATCGCGAGGCCTCCTCAAGAAGTTGTGATAAGACATTATCGAACATATGCTGGCCTCTCGGCTACATCTTACCTTGGATTTAGAGACTATGTCCGCCAAGTAGAGTCAAGTTCAATCTGCAAAACATTCCATGAATGTAAAGTTTACAAGACCAACTGTTCATTTCCTTCCCGTTATGTATTCTCACTGTAGATTTGAAGCATGTTCCATCCATTAGCCATAAAACAATACCAAATATGACCAAATAAAACACAGTGATTAAGAAGAACGTGTACTTTGGCAACACATTTTTTTAAGGAGACAGCTTGACAATACAAATCATGCTGTCAGTGGTACACTGAGTTCAGATGGAGCATCGGCTCGAGTTGCAGGTCGTAAAAGAGACAACGTCCAGATGTTTGGCAGGACGCACGAGAACGCAGGAGATGATTTCAGGAGCGAGTTCTCTTCCCAGTCAGCTACTGATGGTCCTTATTGAGAACCACACTGGAAACACCGAATAATCTGAAGGGATTTGATCCCACTTCAACTTTAACCATTTTAAAAACAATAACAAAACAAGAGATTTTAGCACAAATCTTGTTTGGCTGATACTTTGCCCTTTAGGGTCCTACTATATGCTTGTTAGGCTGGCCTTGGGTGTGCCATCATTTCACCGCACCAGTCTCTTCAAAGTAATCCTCCGAAGGGGCTCTGAGGAACAAAAGATGGCTGACACGAGAGACTGGGAATAATCTTCCTCACAGTGACAACCTTTTTCCTGACTTGGTCTAATCGTGGTGACTAATGAAAGTATGTGCGTCTGATGCAGACTGAGGAAGCATCCTCTATGAAGCCCCATGCAGGTGTTTGGGAGCGCTAGAACTAGCAGGAACTCAAATTTCTCCGTGGATTCCATTTTGAAGCCACCGCGAGCCAGCTTAAGCAGCTTTGTTCCTTTGCCACCTATCCTCACTACATGCCCGTCCTAAACCTGTCTTGATTGTTCTGGCCACAGCTCTCCATCGAGTCTCAGCTGCCCTGCGTTTCACATTCCTCAGTCGTGGGGACGTAAGCTTCAGTTTTCCTCTCCCACACTCGTCAGCCCTTCAGAAAAACAGGGATCCGGGCTGGCGGAGCCGCTGTATCAAATCTATTTGTCGGTTAAACCTTCTTCAGAGTGGAGCCTGGATTAGGCTCGCTGCTGCTATTCAGAGGAACCTGGCGTAAGTATTCGCTCGCACTGAGGGCCAGCGAGCTCTGACGGGCCAAACTATTCGTGAAGCTCTTGAATTTGCCAGGAGGAGTTCACCCGTCGACCACAGAAGCTTCAGATCTACTATCAGCGGGGTGATAGTGATTAGAAGAGTGTGGTTACGACTGCTTACTTGTGTCTATGCATCGTGTAATTATGTGCAATTTTCCACAAGTCAACACACCGAGAGCCTATTGAGAGAGCTTATGTCAATCAAGAGTATTGAGGAGTTTAAGTGCTTTCTAAGCCAAGTATCACTGCCATCCAGCCAAAAAAAAGACAAACTAGGATTAGGAACAGAGGAAAAAAGAAGAAAAGGAAGGCAAAGAAAAGAAAAAAGGAGAAAGTTTGTGTGTGTCTGAAGAAGCCTGGGAATCATCTGTGCACAGAGGGAAATTGACAATATGTGGCAAGGAAAAAAAGCATGACCAAAGTAGCAGATCCTCTGCTACGACTGTAAATCACAGCAGAACTGAAAGTCCACAAGCAAAGGACGGGGAGGGAGAGATAGAGAGGGGGGGAGGGAGAGAAGGTGAGGTAATGAGAGGAAGAATAGAAAGTTATCCATAAAAACGAGCTAAATCTGAGAAAAAAAAAAGAGGGGTTAAGGGCCAAGAAGAGTGCTACAGAGGGAAATATAAAAAGATAGTCCCGACTTGAGTTCACAAGTTCAACTGGAAAAAGCTTTCCACTCTCTCCACTTCCCCCTCTTCTACACTCCACAGTGAGCACACATATCAAAGATTCAGGTAGCCGAGAAAGGTCCTTGTGGTCAAAGCGGCTCCTTGGACAGTTTAAACCGCTCTGCACCTCTGTCTCGCCACAATCTGGCAAAGTACAAGCCTTGGCAGTTACCTCGAGTGGATGTGTAGGTCTGTGTGGCGTCTATTGGGAACCAACGGTGGGCTAGAACCTCCGTAATGAAAGCTATGAATCACAGCTACCGTATCCCCCAGCCACAAAGCTCATAAAACACCAGCCCACAACAACAACACGCCGTTCTCTTGAGGTTCTTCTCTCTCCTAGCGTTCACACAATAAACAGCAGCAGTGGTAAGGGTTGCCATGGCCAAGCCGAGTCACCGTAAAGACTCGTGCCTCTTGTTGCGCCCCGCTACATTTCGCCTGGCACTTTGAGAAATATCTCCAAAAACTGAAAAACTCAAATCAGTGAACGTGTATGAGATGAGGAGAGCGTATTGACTTTACAAGGTTGCTTTGAATGTACGGACTGGGCGGTATATACGTATAGACATAAATCATACAATTGGAAAAGAACTGCCATTTAAAATAAATAACGAAGAATGAATGAAGTAGAGCTGCTACTCAAAGGCAACAATGCATGAGGGCATGGCGTGGAATACACGATAGATGGCATGAACTCACAGTGGACCAAATAGCAGAGTAATGATCTAAATTGCCCTTTTCAAGTAATGGGACTCATAGATCCTCCCAATTCGAGCCCGAGGGGAACTGGAGAGAGGGTGGCTCACTAATATTCGTAACGTTGGAGGAAGTGCCGATAAATACTTGGAAATCCATCGGTCCTGATGAAACGGATGGGGATACTATACAAAAGTGCTGTGAGCAGTTAAGCTATATATTCGCTGAACTCTTTGAAGCATCTTGTAAATACTTCTATGGACATATGGAAAGTGTCTAAAATAACCTACCTACCCTAAAAAAGACAAACGCCTCTGAATTAAATGATTTAAGACTGAGATGTTTTGAGCAAATTCTTTTATCTTGCGTTAAATCTGAAGTGTGCAGGATGCAACAGTGACTGTTCTGAATCAAGTTCACAGACTCCTGGAGACCCCATCATCTCATGTGCACATACTGTTTGCACATTTCTCATCTGCCTTTAATACTGTCCGGGAAAGATCTATCGCCAGTGGAGCTGAGTAGCATGGATGTAAATCATACCCGCATAGGATGGATGTATAACTCCATCACCGAGAGGCAACAGTGTGTCCACGTCCATGGAGGACAGCCATCAGCACCGCCTCTGCTTCTCATATTGTTAACCGTTGTACAACGATTAAATCTGCAGATGACGGAGCTCTAATAGGCCTTTTAAGTGGCGATGAGATCAGCTACAGAGCTGAGATCAATCACGTGTACAGCCGGTGTTCAGATCACTCATTGATTTTAAACATAAAGAAGACAAAAGAACCGATCATTGACTTTGGCAGACACTCCTCTCTGTCCCCCGTGATCATGAATGACACCATTATTAAAAGTGTAGAGGAGTACAAGTACACGGGCACTACTATGGAGAGAAAACTGAAATGGAAAGTTTTCAGTTCATTAAAGTTAATTGTAACATTGTGGTCACCTAAAAATGTCTTAAATGCACTGTGCAAATCACCGTATAGATTATTGTTGTGGTGTGATATTAATACAGGTGTTTTTTTCCCAATGAGTCGGATGTGTCTGTTTGAATTTGAAAGTGTGGTCCAGACAAATTTGACAAAGACTTCAAGATCTATCTACCAAAAAGGTGACAAGTTTGCAGCTATGCATGCGTGTGTGTGTGTGTGTGTGCCTACATTAATGTTGCTTACTGGTCCATGATATATATTTCATAACAATCTCGTATTTCGTCAAGAAGAACCAGATGCTTTGTTTATTTGTGTCTATATAATAACAGATGAAACTGGTGGACAGCCCTTGTATCTAATTGTGTGTTTCTTAACAATATGATCTGATTCATATTGTACGATTCTCAATCAAATGCAGTGTTATTAACTTCAAGTGTGTTATTTCACAGGACATAAAGTCAGGAGGCCATGATGGTCAGAGACGTGTGCCAACTTCCAGACCACATATATACGCTTAGTGAGGAAGAACCGCTCCTAAACAACACATAGGAAAATGACAGCTCTGACATGGAGGTAAATAAGAGAGCGAGAGGCAAGTGTGCATACGCCAAGACTTTTAATCCTGACATCTGAAGACACAAGCCCGGTACTTAACAGTTAGGCGAGCGCTCTGTTCCCGCTCTTCTCTTTATTGTGCCGACAGTCTAAATCTTTCCTTGTGCACTTAAAGGTGGTTCTTTTAGTGAGTCTTCATAACCATGTCTCACATCAATTTTGGCAAATATTCAGATGTCTTTTTAGATACTGTGTCGTTTGCTGGACCATGCATGCACCATGAGACTAAACACCAGTGATCCCAAACCAGCTTAAGAGACCCCCGTGTACTTGTTTTTGGTTTGATTATATTCCAACAAAACTGTTGGCAGCTAATTAAAAAAAGGTAAAAGAATCTGTGCATGATTTAACTATGCGTACATGTCTCTTAGAGGCCTATGGTTGGAGAGCAATGAGGTAGAAAATCTGCACTTGTATTGATTAGGTCTAAACCGGCTGCGAGGCCATCGGTCAAATGACGAGCCAGGCCCGATTGACAAGTGCATGTTTAATGGCCGTGAGAAACAGTGTGCAGGGGTTCCTGGGTAATCGCTGGTTTTTAAGGGATGGAAGGAGGACAGGGGCTGCGGACAGCAAAGCCCTGTGACAATTTGACAGATGTGAGGCTCTGCACCTCCCAAAGGGGCAAAGCAGAGAAAAGGCCTTGGAATAAAAGGCTTACTGCTAAGCTTTCTGTGCGGTGCCCTCAGCCCCACAGCTCGCAGCCTAAGGAAGGGTCAAGCCGTTGCTTGACTACAGGCATCTGGGGCTTTTCCTGGCAAAACAAAACAATTAAGTGCGGGGGATGGATCTTCTACTGCCTCTACTGCATTTACCCTCTTTTTTTTTGTCTCTACCCGGTCCCTTTGATATCCATGCATCTCTCTCTAATTTGTGTGGCCATCTCACTCTCTCGCCCGGTCTCCCCTCTGTGGCCCACCTCCTCAATTTATCCCACTCATTTGAGGGCTGAAACAGAGCTGCAGGAACTGCTTTGGCTGCAGATATACACAGAGGCAAAACGCTCCAGCATGCTCCAATCAGGTCCGGTCAAATGGGGCCAAAAATGGTTGAGGTCCAGAGAGGCCTGATCGGGGGGAAAACAAGCAGAAGTTCCTGTCGGGTGTTTTCAGGCGGCGCTAACACAGTTTCATCCATCCATCAATCACTCGAGGCCTGACTGTGTGTGGTCCCATTTTACCTTCAAAGAAATGGTGCTTTTCTTTAAATTCCAGTGAGTTGTGTTGCCATCGGCATAACAGAAATGTGATAATCAACTGGCAACTTTGAAGATCTTCACCTCTCCCCTATTACAGTTTCATCAACAGGCACAGCAGAAATAGATGTATTAAACTCAAAGCTTTTCACTGAACATGCCCAAACATCAAGAGTTGACCCTATTGATTTGGACTTTTCCTTTGGCTATACAACACAAATAGATCACAGCTGACCGTGCTGCTTTTCTTTCAGTGGTTATAGCGCCTTAATGACTAATGTGTGTCAGGGAGCTTGAGTTTCAGTGTCTGTTCAAAACTAACTAAACACACTTGTATTTATTAAACGGTAAATACAAGCGTGTCTGTGAGTCTCGCTCTAATGTCGTATCAGAGACACAGAGTCCAAGCTAAAGCGCGGACGCCTCTTCCTTTAATTACAGAGGTCTGAGAGAGCAGCATGATGAGCTTTTAATGATAGTGACTCCGATACCGGCTTTTTAAATAGAGCGTGTAGGGTGACGAGCCCCTTCCTGGAAGAGACACCTGCAGCGTATTATTCTGTTTTTCAAGGTTTATATGATGCAGGCAGAGTCTGCCGAATGAAACGCACCAGCCTCCTGGGGAAATGAACGGCAACGGAGTCTTCACAAGAGGTTCCTGTCCACAATCACCGTGTAACACATTGCCAACACAAAGGGGAGAAGATTGCGCTAACTAGTGTAAGCTGCTGTTGTCTACAACACACGATGAAAGGGTGCATTGCTCCACTGAAGAGTGGCTGTAAAGGGATAAGATAGCTTTAGATGTCAAAAAGAAAGAAAAAAAAAAAAAGGGGGGAAAATAAATAAAAAAAGGCTTCTAATTACCGTCGTTAGAGCCGTGCATTATCGTTACGCTCCAAGGTTTCTGTCAACACAACAACCGTGCTGCCATGGCAACACAGAGGGGATGTCGGTGCCTCTGATCCATACCGACTGCATGTGATCAGTCGCTTCGGGGGGGGGGGGTCAACCTATTCGTTGACCTGGACCCTCATCCTGGACCCACGCTGGACGAGCGCAGGTGGACGCATCAGTCGGCTGGGCTGGCACCACTTCACCCATGGGCTGAACACCACAACACAGCTGGGTCCATCTGATGTTATGAAACGCAGCAGCACCACCCCCGCAGGCCTCGTTCACACTAAACCCCCCCACACCACCCCCCTCTCCACCCACTCCGCCTCCCACTAGCGCACCATTGGCCGTTTTTGCAGGCTGAGGTGCGTTGTGATACAAGAGTGCTCCGGCTCCGTCTTCATGTTTTCCCCATCCACTGAATAGAACACAAAGGTAGTCGTATACTAAAGCAGCTGCTGTGTGAAACCCCAACCGAATGACTAGATTCCAGGGTTGTATCCATCATTGATCCTTCCAGCGATTCTGCCTTTACTTCTTGGACACACATTTTTGTTACAAAGCAATACTTGCTAAAAGTGGAATTGCACCCGTTGCCTGGCAACATTAGCTTATTGAATCTGGTGTCAGGAAGCAATGAGAACCCAGCGGTGCTTTTGAGCTACAACCCTCTGGATGCTCCTTTCATCCCCGGGTACAGATTGTGACGTCCGAGTACAATCGGGCTATATATTCAAGTCGTCTGATATCAGATATTAGGTGTCTACACCTGGCCTCTCACAGTCATTGATGTAATCCAACACACAGCCACAAACCCGACACGTATGAATCCATGAAGCAACAACCCCCCCGACTGTTCTCTTGCTCACTGACTGCAAAGTACAAGACAAAAGGCCATTTCTTTCAAACCGGTATGTCAGTGATGAGACCGTATAATGCAGATAACAAGAGAGGCAGGGTGAAGTGAGTCCCTTTTCCTTTCAACCCCCCCTGAGTGCTTTATGAGGTGGTAAAGGGCTTCAGGCAGTCTCTTCATTAAAAACAACCCCGTGGGCCCACATTGAAGATGCTTTACTCCTAAACTGGCCTACTGTCATTAGAATGAACCGCCCGTGCGCCAGTTACTTCCTGATGGAAAACCCCCGCTCGCTTCAGCTCACACGACTCGCACCCATAAACCAGCGATCGAGCCTTTCCTCCTCTCAGCTGGAGAGACCGGGCGGAGGCATGAGCTAGAAGTTGTCAGAACGCCAGCGGAATGGATCAAAGCTCTGTGCCTCCGGTGACCCTTTAAAAAGCACTCCGACGCCATCGAGCAGCCCGCTCGATTTGAGTGGCTGGGTAACGAGGCAGCAGCAGATGCAAAGGAAACAGGTGTGTGAGGTTTTTCTGACAGACAAGGTGGCGATCACATGGTCCATGAGTCCAGGCTGGGGCTGTTGTTGTTTTTTCAGCTGACAGAAAGTTAAAAAAAAAAAATCTGGGTTTGTGAACATTGGGATATTATAAAATACACTGACACTTTTAAGGGCTGCAACTAACAATTAGTTTCATCATTAATTAATGAACTGCCAACAGTGAAAAGTTTCCCATCAGAACCCACAATGACATATTGCTATATGGAGATAAAAGCAGCTAAATCTCTTGACAGTGATGTCATTTTACCAGAGTGCTCGAGCTATCCATCGAGTTCTATTTTTTTGCATTGACCTTTATATCCACATCATCATCAACACCAATAGTCAACCCTACAACATCACTGCAGTATCCGCATGGAGGTATTTGGTGAAATTGATGGCGATGTGTGATTTTCTCCAGATCACCCAATGGGTCTCGGTCTGAGGGTGAGCAAAGTTAGGTTTGCACTCACTAACAGACACCAGCAACACAGCCCATTGGAGCTGGCTTCTCTGCAACAACATACCACAGTGTGTGTAAGCCAACACACAATCCTGCCTGTCCAAATAATCATTAACCAGTTAAACCCTGAGTAAATATTTTAAGAACCTCTGTAAACTAGAAGGTAGATACACACCTCAGAGGTGGGGACGTAAACACACACACACACATACGCAGTGTGTATGGGCACTGTGGCACGCAGAGTTCATTGTTCTTCATCATGTTGAGCTTGGATGAAGCGGAGAACAATGAGGTCGTCCCTGTTGTGTACACGCAGCACTCTCTCACATTGTGCAGCATGCCGTTGAACACCCAGCTAAAAGCCTGCTGGGATGAACCTAGAGGAAGGCCAAACACTTCACAAAGCCACCAACCTGAAATCTTTTAAACCAAAACGATGGAAACTCGACTCGGGTTCTCAAGGCCGTCCCCTCTCAAAACACTCCCCTTCTTGGATGAGCACAGTGAGCAGAGACGACCATGACAGGCCACTTTCCTGTTGTGCTTTCTGCTTCCACCACCTGCAAGCCAGATGTTGAACGGCTGGGCACGGTGACCTCATTTTTCTGGTTTAAAAAAATGTATATAATCATCTGCAGGTCCACTTGAGTCCTATCTTCCAGTAGTTTATGTTTGTAGAATAGACACTGGAATCAGCGGAATAATTATATAATCTGCTTTTTGTTTGACCCGTTTGTAAATGAAATGCCTTTGAGTTTTTGAACTATTGGTCGGACAAACACACAACATGGAGCCTAAAATGTGAAGGGTATTTTTCAGTATTGTCAGACAAGTAAATCAAATGAAAAACAAACAACAAAACAAAGTCCAGTCCCAAACACAGCCGAACAAGTGTCAGTGAGGAATGCCCTGCTGTCAGCATTCTCTCTGGCTTTGCGTCAGTACGTGGATCTGCAAAAGCAGGAAAACTGTTGAGCGGTTCAGCCAAAAGCTGCTGCTCTCAGTACATCAAGATGGATTTATGTGTTTACCTCTCTTGGCAAAATCCAAGACCTCCTTGGAGCCTAGAACCCAAGCAAGATGACTTTCATTACGACGATACACCAGAGCTCTTTTTCTCTCTGGCACGCTGAGCTGGGGCTTTATTTTCTTAATGAAATGACATTCTATGAAAAGTCGCTCAATGTGCCTCATTCTTCTTCAGCCGTTTACCAAATGCAATTTTTGTTACAGCCGTCTTTAATCCAGATTCGTGCCATTTTGTACAATAATACTTGTAAATAGTAGATGCACTGTTTACTGAACTGGATGTTTCAACACAAACAGAGACAAAGGCTGGAAGACAGTCGGCACGAGAGTCGCTGTTAGCGAGCGAGCAACAAGAAACATCCATAAAACCATCCGCTGCTTCCTCCGTTTCAAGGTTGTGAAGCCTTCACTGTGCTCTCAGCAAATATTCGGAGCATGCTGTAGTAAGTTTAAAAGCACAATTTATACTGGGATATTACACCTGATGTCAAACAAACGTGATCAAACCACATTGACACAGTGTGGATGAGGCAGCTTGGCTTCATCAGTTAAACTCTTGATGAATAATAACAGATCACTCATCTGTAACAGCACAACATTGATCAACTATGGTAATTACAGCTGTTGTCAGCAATCTGTTTCTGTATTTTAGTACTACACACAGGTGGTATATAATGACTCTGGTAGAGTTAATGAGGAGCATTGCTTATCAGGGAAAGCAGCAGCAGTACCAACAAACCGCCTTAAAACTCTTTCTTTGAAAAGCGTCACTTATAACTTATAACAGATTTCCTTTTCGTGATATCTTGAGCACAACACCACGTCTATGCCTAAAATGTGTGTTCCAGTGTCTGAACATAGTCCCTCCCTGCCGGGCAGCTGCATTACCAGAGACATCAACATGGCCACAAGATGATCTCCGTTTGGTTTGCTGTGGCTCGGCGGGGCCTTATAGCCGAGGCCGAGACCTCAAACTGACAGTGTAATCGCAGAGACTGTCAATTACAGCACACTTAATGAATCAATTCCAATGATGGGAAACCACTCTAACTAACGCCACATTTATCTCTCCGAGCCACTTATTCACGCTGTGGCGGATATGCAAAGTGTGGTACGACACACAACATTCCTCACATCTTCTTCGTCACATAAATAGGCAGCGGCTTCAAAACTTACCGTCAACAGATGACAGCTTTCCCAAGCTTCAAGTAGTAACGGTTTCCTTTGGATCAGAGAGGCGACTCCATCCAGCGGCGGTGAACAATGACCCGGATGTGTTTTCCTTTCATCCTGCGCCTACTTGTGTGACTGTTGTCAGAAGAGGCTTTCCCTACAGCCACATATGAGAAAAGCTCTGTTGAGGAAATCGAAACATTTCACAAAGTCTGTTAAATAGCTAAACATTTGTCAGAATCTAACTACTAGTTGACTGAGTAAAAGACATGATTATACTAATACTGCATGAATATAGCCTGTTTAAATACATCAACAATTCAAGAGGATGGTCCTATTTCTGGAGCACACTTTTCATTGGTCGTGCAGACTCACTGGCCAGCTTGGACCCACAAAAGGAGAGGTTATCATAGGATACAACAGCAAAACAATAACAAGGATCATATAGAGTCTGTAGCATTCATCAACCATTAACATAGTCATAGTCATAGTGTACAGTACATGCAGAAGACTGAAGAGCTCTTTTCCCCCAAACTGAACTGCATGCGTTATGTAATACAATTAACCATGCTCTTATTTTTCAGGCAACAAATTGAGTGGATGTCTCGTGCCAACAGGATGCTTGGATAACAACACAGTCCCGTGAGGATGGGTCAAATGTTCCGGGGGGCATATGAGTGATAAAAATAAATGCACCATGCTCCTTGGGTAACTGGATTCTTCTGGACAGCTTGTAAGTCGGTGCAAAAATGATAAAAACCTGATTAGTAATAATCCCCACTTTCCCAGGATAGTGTGTGTAAATGCATCAGCAGCAGGCTTGTTGAAAACAAGTAGCCTTTTAAAACATAGCTACACAACGAACACAGTTTATTGCCTATAATGTTAAATCAAATCTATTGGGTGTCTATCTCTTATGGAAAGAGATCTGTTCCTGTTTACAAAATCTTTACTAAAATCTTTCATTGCACTCCACAGAACTCAGAGCTGATGAGATAACTCACAAATATCTTTCCAATCACAAGATGTCTAGTTGGCCTCGACTTAAACCATTTCAGTTAAAAGGTCCTCTAATCATAAAAACAAGCATGCCAAAACACAGAGGGCACATAGGGCTCCACTTCACACAGAGATGGGGGGGAGGAGACAGGAATAAAATCACAGTACCTCTCCGAGAGAAAAATAATCCCGTCCGAAGAGGGCTTTAATGGGTAAAATGTCCAATTATAGAGCCTCCCATAATAATAGTGCTTT